CAATTAAATCAACTTGCTTTGTTCTTCTGACATGAGCAAGAAAAAAAATAATGGAAAAACAGACTTTAAAATGAGATCTTTAAAACAAAATGTAAAAAAATAAACAACAATAAAATACTGTTTACTTAGGAATAGATGGTATTATCTCTAATGTGTTTATGCTTGAAAAGGTAATTGTAGAAATTTGAAACACTTTATTATTATTATTATTTGCTTTGTTTGAAAAGGTGAGTAGTTTGTATAAGAGTACACTTATTTTTGATGTTGTTCATGGCACATACTGAAAAGAACTTAAACTACAGGCCTCAACTTATTTAAGGACATGACATTCAATGGATACTCCTTACTTGGACATTTCTATTACTGCACGCTATAGCTCATTCTGTACAGTGTTTTCTTATTAAACCATGTGAAAGTGACTTAATAAACAAATCTCACTAATTTTATTTTATTTTATTTTTTGAGACGGAATCTTGCTCTGCTGCCCAAGCTGAAGTGCAATAACAGGGTCTCTGCTCATTGCAACCTCTGCCTCCCAGATTCAAACCATTCTCCTGCCTCAGCTCCCAGAGTAGCTGGGATTACAGGTGAACACCACCACAACCTGCTAATATTTTGTATGTATTTTTTAGTAGATATGGGGTTTCACCATGGTAGCCAGGATGGTCTCTATCTCCTGACCTCACGATCCATCCACCTCAGTCCCAAATTGCAGGGATTACAGGCATGAGCCACTGCCCCCGGCCAAATCTCACTGATTTTATAATGCTGTGTCTAAAAGACCACAGATAAAGATTAGTGGAAACCAGGTACTGCAAACGCACAAACCGCTAGCACATCCTATCTGAAGAATTATATCTGAATCAGTTGGGAATTTGCTCTTGTTCAGTACCTTTCTATCAACAACTTTACCCTTCCCCTAGTGCTAGCTTTGACGGAGAATTTTCTATAGCTTCTGATGTGTGTACTTATCCTTGCCCACATTTTCTTATATCTAATGAGCTGATGCAATAAGTATATTGTTACCTTCTCCCTGGCCCAATTTCCATGTCCCAGCTTAGTCTATGACTACTTTCAGAATAATTCCTTATTTCTTGGTATCCATGTTAATTCTTCATCTCAATGCCTTGGAGTGTGTATAACCCAGCTCCCTGGCATGAATTTGTAAGGTTCAAATTCACATATTCTTTCTTTTTAATAAGTTGATTTCTACTTTATGTCAAGGCTGAATACCCCAGTAAATTCATGAGGTTACCAAGATTAAAAGCACACACAAAGCAAAACATGGTAGACATGTTCTTTGGTACATTCTTCGAGGTCAATACTTAAACGAAATCAATACTCTCAAGTTAAAATAAACCAACACTTGCTGAAGAGGCCAATGGTTGGGAATAAAGGGAAGATGTTACTTCTTCCAGAACCCTTCCCATTTTAATATAAGATTTCTGGATACAAAATGCCTTGAGCCAAGTAATGAATTTCTAAAAGTGAAATTCCAGGCACAATGGGAAGCTGATGAAAAGGTAGTTTGAGACTGGGATGTAGAGTTACCACATAATTCTCACATCTCATATAGGTAAGTATTTGCCTTCTACTGTTTTGTGATAGTCCAGCCCTGTCTCTATGAAACATTTCATGTGGCTATCAAACAGATAGCTTTACCCCCTTTTCCCTCTGGATTTGCTTTTAATTTATATAATAATAATAGAGTATATTATTATTCTCAGTCTTTTAACAAAATAAAATATGCCTACCCAGTTAGTAGAATATTAAATCCATTTTGGTCCATGCAATCAGGCAGCTGTTCAATAAAAAGAAAAATTATGTGTAGAGGTTTGTAGCCTCCTAATGCAGCTGTGACTGGAAGGAGTTTGCCTGATAGGTGAGGCAGCTGTATGAAGAGTTTGGGTCACATCTCAGTATGCTAGGAAGTAATTAATTATAAAATCAGATTATCATTTGTTATAACCATTAAAACGTCTGTACATCTGGTCCAATAGTCCTCTCTATTCTGGTGGTTATCCTAACTCCTTTTTCAGCAAACCTTCACATTTCAATTATTTTAGCAATATAGGGCTTGGTTCCTAACTTTGACCTGCAACAGAGTCACCTGGAGGACTTATTAAAAGACAGTTCTGACCCTTGCCTTGGAGTTTCTGATTCGGTAGATCTAGGAAGAGTTTCCTAAAAAATGATGGTTCCTATCCTTTCCCAGGTGATGCTGAGGCTGCTGGTACAGGGATTACACTTAAGAAATAAGCAATAAGAATTACAATTGAGACCTAGTTTTTTTGATTTTGCTAGAACCTCTTTCTAGCAAGTTCTTTAACTTCCTTCACTTTTCTAGTAGCTTGTCATGTAAATAATAAGCTGAATTTTTTTTTTTGCTCTCATGACACAGAATTGCTTAAAGAAATGAAAATCTGTGTGACACAGTCCTTTAAAATCTCAGGTTAATTGAATTTTCTAGGTTTTCACAGCTACTCTTAATCTGATTTCCCTTTTTGCTTTCCTTTTTGACTACCTGTCATTCTTTTCTGATATTCCTCCATAAATACGTATCTGCCTCTTGAATACACATTTAGATATTTCGTTCTTCCATTTGGTTATTCAAAACCTATTCATTGAGCATCTATTAAATGGAGATAAAGAGAATACAAATAAACAGTATTGCTTTCATAAAGGGTCGTGCATTCTATTTGAGGACAATGTCTAAAAAATTAATAACATTAGGCAGTGATGTGTGTGGGAACAAAAACCAAAGCAGAGAAAATTGACATTTTTTGATATGCATATAATCATACATGTCCTTTGTTCCTAAATGAATTTTTCTTATTTGCATTACTGGGTACCATTATTATCCTGTCATCTAACTCTCCTTTCTCTCAAACTTTCCTCCCATCCCAAACACTTCCCACACTCACTCAGTCAGCAGGTGACTTCTACTTCCACAAAACCATTTCAATCTGTAGTTGTTTTACAACCATTTTCAGTCAGTTTTTAAAAAATATTTTACCAGGAACAGTTTAATATCTAACCTTAATACCACACCTTTCTGTTAGACACACTTATGAAAACAATGTTTTAAGTCAGATCATGGTGCTAATTCAACAACACATTTACTCAGTGAGGCAAGTACTTTTATTTTTTCCATTTAGAAATAAGGAGACAGAGGTATTTTACAAAGGCAGAAATTTGAATCTAGGTATTCAGAGGCCAGAACCTGCACTTGTAACAATAGTAGGATAGTGTGGTAATAACCGTGATTGAAAGAAGGAGATACCAAGTGCTATGTCAGCAAAGAACAGGACAATTAACTCTGCCCAGAGGATCTCAAAATATTTATCCTAGATGGGTCACCCTGGTGGGTATTCTGTCACCTGCAGCTTGAGCATGCCTTTACATTAAAATTTCCATAAAAGCAACTCTCTTCCTATATATATTTTAATCCTTCCAGAGCATACATTTCACACCATGTGTGTGATAATTTATTGAAGAGTTGATTGATTAACTTAGTTTTCAAGTTTTCAAGAATACCTAAATAGGAAAAAGCTTTATGTACTATGGTGAGGAATGTGCTCCATGCATTTGAACAGAAGGCTAAAGCAGGTTTTGAATTACAATGATAACAAGGATGAATAGATTTGACCTACTACCCGGCATCTTCCATAAATTTCCACTCTCCATTGCCTATACGCTCACAGAGAATGAACAGGGTAAGCTGAGCTATTACAATGGTAAGAAGAGCCAAAGAGAAAGTCAAAGCAGACATGAGCTAGACCTGACAGTTATTTGGCCTATGAAATGATTTAAAGAATAAAGGAGATCAACATTTCAAAATCCTGTCTAAAAAAACTCTGATATTTTATTTTTGCCTGCATTTTGGAAACTGTCACGACACTGCCACCTTTAAAACATTGCAACAGCTGTGCAAACTTTCATAGAGTTTGATGCACATTTTTACTCTCATTTTTAACTTAAACAACACATCTGTTAAGATATGAGTCTCCCTGTGCTTCAATCAAGTTGCACCATTTTTCTTTCTTATCTTATGTGCATAACCACATTGAGATAGTTGAAAAGAAATGCCAGGTGACATTTTAATTGTTCTGAAGGATTGTTTCTGTGACCAGCCTACCAAATCATAATGGTCATATTCCATAATGAATGAATCTATGTGATCAATAACACCTTAGAGCTTTTCCAAATAATCATTTATTATAAAATATATTTCATATATATGTATACTTTTTTCCATCTCAACAAAACTCTAGTGACTAAATTTAATAAATAAACCATATTCAATTAGGTAAGCTTGTTGAAAGGCTAACTTAAAATCTTTTTCCTAGACAGTGATGCAAGTTGGCATTTACGCTATAGCCAAACAATCAAAAGTCTGTCAGGCAGTAAATACGATGTTTTGGTGGGAATTGGGGGAGGCCGGCTATCTATAAATGTGTATTGCCCACACTTATCTTAAATAATGATGTTACAGGGGAGATTAAAATCTATAGTTTGGCCAGTTACATAATAATATAAACTTATTTTTGTTTTCAAGTATTAATTTCTGGTGCTGCTGGGACCAAGAATGGCTTGTTTTTCATATTTTCTGATGGTACATCTTGTCCTTCTCATATGAACAATTGCTTTTCTCCTATGACAAGGAAAGAGAAACATGAGCACTGAGCCAAAATTTCTCAAGTTGACAGCAAGTATGACTTTTATGGGTGTTACAAGAAAATGATCTATTCACTTGTAGCAGCTAGAAAAGATTTTGTAATTCAACCAGATTGTGAAAGGTCACCGTTACTCAGTTGAAATAGATGAGGGGAATTTGCATGCACTTTCTGTGTGCATTGTAAGTCACATATATCTGGCCATGTGAATACTGCTTCCCGTGGAGAGTGGTCAGACTGCTGTATTCATCCACTGCCAATGTACAAATGAGAATCCTCAAATTTGAAAAAACCCAACACACTGTCTAGTTCAATCCTTTCCTTTTTAATATGGAATTCTTCAGGAATTTGTGTGTCATCCTTGCACAGGGGTCATGCTAGTCCTTTCTGTATCATTCCAATTTTAGTATATGTGCTGCCAAAGCAAGCACTTGTTTTTTTAAATTAAGAAATTCTGATTTATATAGGTTGTTCTTTTTCCAAATACTACATTAGAATTAGGTTAAAAAGTGAGCAGTAAAGACTAGCATTTCCAATTTCTTTAAAGGTCTTTCTACAATGGTCTATAAATATCGTAATTGTGTAGTAAATTAAATGAGGAAGACATATTTTTACCTTTCTACATCAAGAGAATGGGATAAAACATGAATGCCATATGTTCTACACTGTCAAACAGGCTAACAGCTGAATTTTATCAAGTACTTATGTGCCAGGCCTTGTTCTAACTTCCTTACATAAATTTATTTATTTATTTCTCACAGTAATCCACTGAGAGAAGTAATATCATTAACATTTGTTAGATTAAGAAATTAAAACACACAGACGCACATATGCATACACACATGCACAGATTAAGTAACGCACTCGAGACAACATAGCTTGAAAGTGATATCCAAGGTAAAACTTCAGAGCTTGCATTTTAATAGCAATGGAATACTCTCCTAGTGACTTTGTAATAGATACCAAGAGTGACATTTCTTTTATTCAAAATCTGTAGCATTGCTCATTGGCTGAAGGCAGCTGTCTGTTTTAGAAATCTTGGTTACATTATGTATAACTAGTACTTCTCTATAACACAGAAGTTAGCAGGATAAAAATTTATGTTAACCGTTAACATTTATTTAATAACTCATTCATTCACTAAATAAGTATTTACTAAGTCATTATTATCCTAAGGATCAGTCCTAGTCCATGAACAAAAGCAAATCCTTCTCTTAAGGAGCTGGAGAGAGGGGATATGTTGTTTGGTTTACTTTAAAAACAATTTACATACACTATAATGCTCTCTTTTTGGTGCAGAAGTCTGTGAGTTTGACAAATGCACACAGTTGTGTTGCCATCAAGACAATTAAGTTATATAACAATTCCATTACTCCCAACAGTTCCCTTGTGTAGCCCCTTTGCCATCAAACATTCTACTACCCCCAATACATTTACAAACACTGACCTATTCATTTTTTTAGTTTTACCTTTTCTAGAAGTCATAAAAATGGAATTATAGAATATAGCAGAATTTTGATTCTGGCTTCTTTCACTTAGCTGAATGTATTTCATATTTGCTGTGTGTATCAATACTTCATTCCTTTCTTTGCTGAGTAATATTCCATTGTATGGATGTACCACAGTTTGTTTATCCATTCACTGGTTGATAGGCATTTCCAGTTTGAGGCTATTACAAATAAAGCTGATATAAGCATTTATATACAAATATTATGTTAACACAAGTTTAATTTCTCTTAGGTAAATGCCTAGAAGTAGGGTTCATTGGAAAGTATAATTCTGACTTTATATAAGAAAGTGCCAACTATTTTCCAAAGTAACTGTAACATTTTGCACTCTCCCCAGAAATAGGTGAGTTCGAATTTCTTCACATTCTCACTAACACTTGATGTTAACAGTTTTCCCCCAGCCATTATAATAAAAAGTGTGGTGGTATTTCATTGTGGTTTTAAATTGTAGTTTTCTAACAACCAACCATGTTGAAGCTTTTCAAATGCTTATTTTCCTATCCTTTTATCTTCTTTGGTGAAGTGTTGTTCAAGTGTTTTGCCTTTTTTTTTTCTTTTTTATTTTTTTTCGAGAATGAGTCACTCTGTCACCCTGGCTGAAGTGCAGTGGTACCATCTCGGCTCACTGCAACCTCTGCCTCCCAGATTCAAGCAATTCTCCTGCCTCAGCCTCCTAAGCAGGTTGGGATTATAGGCACATATCACCATGCCTACCTAATTTTTATATTTTTAGTAGAGACATCATTTCACCGTGTTGGTCAGGCTGGTCTCAAGCTTCTGACCTTGTGATCTACCCACCTCTCAAAATGCAGGAATTACAGGTTGAGCCACCACTCCCTGCTTCTTTTGCCTATTTTTTATTGGATTGCTTTCTTATTGTTGACAGATCTACTTTTTCACTCCCTTACTCATCATTCTCATCACTGATAATGCCTAAGTTCTTCAATGACTCCCCTTCTTCTGTCCCTACACTTGACCCATCCTCAAAATCACCTAATGAACTTGTTAACAGTTTCTAGGCCCTATCTCAGAGTTTCTTAATGAGAATCTTCAGAGGGTAAGACCCAGAACCTAAAAATATCTCTCTATATGGAGATGCAAATTAAGACCACAATGAGATATCACTGCTCATTTGTTAGAACAGTTAAAAAATAATTTAAAAAATAATGACAATACCTAATTCTGGTGAGAATCTGGAGCAGCTTTACTGAAAGTTGGCCAGGTATCAATAAATACATGTCTAAATCTTACTGATTTTATGTATCTCAGAACTTAATGATGACTTCTATTATATCCTATTCTTAGAGTTATCTCATCCCAGAACAATAGGAATAGAAAATATATAATACATCTACTAGCAAATTATTTCTATATGCAAAGAAATAAACATACTTGTATTCAGAGAGGTGAAGGGAGAAAGTCCCAAGAGAGAAACAATTTACTAAAAAGGTAGGACAATAACAAACATCTGGCCCGTATTCCAGAGCTATTCATGAGTTATTCTGAAAATGTCTCTCATTTGTAAACCCTTAGCCTCCAACATTTCAAGCATATTTGTGTCTGTAGAAAGCCCACCATATTTTTCTTCAATATGTTTTCCCCATAGTATCATTTTGTTAAAACTCTTATCTAAAATTCTCTAACCCTAAATTCTTCATGGTTTCTGGAGATCTTTCTTTATTTATTTTTCTTTTTACCTGATTTTTAAAACTACCTGATGCAATTAATTTCTATTGTGACAAAAAGACTAAAGAAAGTTAATTCATTAGACCTCATAATAATACTTAATTGTTACTCAAACTGGCTAAACACTGACCTTAACTTCTTTTCTATCAATTTTTCACTCTCTCCCAAAACCTTCAAAATATACTAATTGTGTACATTTTAGAAAAAAAAACCTCTGCACATTACATTTATATTTGTTTAATATTTGAATTTTAATGCATCTGTATGGTGATCATGTATGTGTGTATTCAACATGTGGATATTTCTTACATGGTAAGCTCCTAGAGGGCAGTGAATAGCATGCATAATGTAGCTCCTTAAGGTATTTCGCATAAAACCTGTTGCAATTATGCTTCTCATCAAAGTTATAAAGAAGGCTATAAAAGGATGAATCATTAAAACTCAGTCAATATTTACTTTTTATGTTCATTAAGGCAAGAAATATAAATTGGATAACCACTGCTAAACATATTGATGGTTGTAATTTAAGTAAATTTATGGACTTGACTATTGGAGGGCTTATATATTTAGTAATGATTTTCATCCTTAGCTCATTATATAAAGCTTTAAATGATAAATGGCCCTAGAATACTTTCACAATTAAGTTGATACTGAGAAAATGATGAAAATGAGATAGCTGATATCTGTGGGCTAAGAAATTATGAAGGAATAATTTAAAAAGAAAAGTAAGCTTTACCAGTATAAGCTTTACCTGAATTACTAAATTTAACCCTGAGAGCATATATTAAAACCAGGGGCCCAACTAATAAAGGCAGGAGACAGATTTGTGTTGAGGATGGAATGGGGTGCAAGGCAAGTAAAATAAAGTTGTTTATGTAAGATTTTTATTAGAGATGATATGCCTGGGACTCATGACCTAGAAAGAAATCACTCCTGATGCCAAGGGCAGCCCTTGGTTATATTAGTTATCTTAAAATTGGGGCTGGTTGTTCTAAATATTTAGTACCAAGCAGTGTCACTAAAGTACTTTAGCTTGTCCCAGCCACAATTTATTAGATATTTGAAATCCAAATGTTTCTCAGTCCCATTCAAACCTATTTTTATCTCAGCTGATGTCACAATTTTGTTCTTGTAGACTTGTCAAAGCTTTTTTTTTAAGGTTGCAGCATAATTTCAAGCTCTTCATGTTATTTCTTATACCCCCACATATTTTTACTCTGAATCATATAGTTTAAGTGTTTGTCATATGTGTGCTTTTTACAAGTCTTCACACCAGTCTTCTATTTATTGTTTCTGTGTTAACTTTTCTCATTATGTGATATGACATAGCTTTCTTTCTCTCTGTGTGTGTGTATAACAAGATAAATGTTCATATGAAAGAGACAGACAAACATAAATCATTAAATCACTGGAATAGTTTGCATTATGATTTTATTGCTGAACTAAATATATCTAATAAAAATGGATATATTTAGAGAAAGGCTGATTTTATTGATTTATTGGTAAGATACACTTAATGTATTGACTTTCTAAAAAAAATGACATATTGTCAACTCCTCTTCCCATTTCCCAGGCTGTCTTGCCAAACTTCCTACCTCCATTATTCAACATCTGATTCAGTTTGAATTGTGCCCCTAATTTTAGGTGTTGAAATGTTAACCCACGGTCTCTCAGAATGTGATCTTATTTGGAACTATAGTCACTGAAGATGTAGTTAAGATGAGGTTATACTGGAGTAGAATGGGCCCCTAATCCTATAGGCCTGGTGTCTTCATAAAAAGAATGCAACAAACATGCACACAGGGAGAATGCCCCATGCAGACTGGAATCATGCTGCTGCAAGACAAGCCATTACCAGAAACTACGAGGAGACCTTGAACATACCCTTCCCCAGCACCTTCTGATGGAACATGGCCCTGCCAACACCTTGATCTCAACTTCTAGGCTCCAGAACCATGAGATATTAAAGTTGTTGAAGCCACTCAGTTTGTCACACTTTGTTACAGTGGCCCTACAAAGGAATAGAGCATGTAACCAAGATTCTTTAAGAAGTCGACAGGTAGAAACAAACTCATCTACCTCCCCTTTTCCTGGCTATGAAAACATATGTAGCTTAACCTGTTCTTTCCTCCTGCTTGAATGTATGTGTTAATCCCTCGATCCCATGCAAACCTATCCATCAATGCTCTCAATCCCATCTTTGCCATCAATTCTGTTTCCTCCCTCTGAATTATTTA